GAACGATGCAGATGCCAACAGTCAACTGCTTTGCATCTTAATATTTCTTCCTTGATTGGTGTACTGGTGACTTTCTGATTTTCAAGTTTGCTGTATCTCTATCAGAATCCCATCCTTATTCACTATCGATAACTTTGTTTCTACAAAAGTTGTTTAGAAACAAGCTAATGGCGAGTTGCATAACTTTTTGAAAGCTTTCAAGCGGATTCTTCCACTGCACCTATGGTTTCAGTCATCGCTCATGCACCATTTTAATCGTTCATCAAATTTTTCGGTGCGCGAACTTTTTCCTAACAAAATGAATTTATTATGCAGATTTCCGTACTGTTGTTCCAGGCAATGGCTAATCCACAGCAACAGCAGCAGCAACCGCGAAAATTGTCGCATCCAAAATCCTCGGTTCTTTTCCCGTTCGTGAATAACGATACGAAAACAATGATTGATGGGATCAATATGCGCCTTAACGATATTGACCTGAAATTGTCCTTCATCCTGGAACTTTTGGCGCGTCGTCTCCCTGAAAAGTTGCCGTCGCAAATGTTATCGTCGATGACGCCACGACATCGTACATCGCCGCAACAACAGCAGCAACTTCAGCAGCGTCGTCAATCGCCGGAAATCGCTTGCGATCCAGAACTACCGGCTACCAGTATTTCCAGTATCTCGCGGTTAAGAGCGACACAAACGCAATCGCTGCCAGCGTCCATCGTGATCGATAGCGCAAGAGCAGGATCGCTGGCGATGGACGCTGATGGAATCGCCGCTGTTGATTTAGCCTCAGGCAAAAATTTTTGCGGTATCCCTACTGCATCCATCACAGTGGACAGCAGTAGCGGCAGCAGCAACCAGCAACAACAACAACAGGAGGACGACGAAATGCAGCCAGAAACATCATCGTCCACATCAGTAGTTGCCGGTACAACTAGTAATGCAATTAATAGCAATAACGAAGCGAGTGATGGTGATGAAGAGGAAGTGGATGATGACGATGAGGAAATTGATGAGGTAAAATTATGCAATATTTATTTTCTTGACGTAATTACGTGAATTTTTTTTTGCATGCAAATATTATTATATCATTATATACAGTATTATTATAATTATCATTATATTATTATATACAGTATTATATTATAAGTATTATATTATACGTATTATTATAGACATTATTATAATATTATTTTTACATATATGTATATGTAAATATATATGTGTATATGTAAAATATATATGTATATATATGTTTATATGTAGAATATTTTTCGTGCTTATTGACGCATGTTTAAATTGAAAATTTTTCTGTAAAAGATGCCCTAAGATCCATAAATAATAATACCCAAACCTTAGTAATACTGAATAAAAAGGCAGTCAATAACACCCAGTCTTCTTCTCTTGGAAAGTAAGCGACTTGATGAATTGAAACATTCCTTTTCCTTTGATTATCCATCCTTTCTATGCGTTTTTGCATCAAACATTTTCTTGGTTTATTCCCGGAAAATCATTTTACACAGCAGCGAAGTCTGTCGTAAACTGAGGGAAGCAGCTGTAAAATTAGAGAGTTACTTGAAATGATGCTCAAAGTAGTCAGTTATTTTGAAATCCATATGATGCAAATATTTGGAAGTTTACTTTGATTTTGTTCCAACGATTTTGATTTTTTGGAGAAAATTCCAGTTTCGAATGGTTTGCGAGAATTCTTCTTAGTCATTTCAGGATGTTGATTCAACACAGGAACGTGAGGTGAACATAGTCCGCGCGGAGGGCAATTTTCCGGAAGGTGCAGTACGACGAGCGGCCGAAAAAGCAGCGCGAAGTTTTCAGAGCACTCAACCAAAGGTATCTGCGTTTGATTTAGTCATATTACTTTGATTTTTTTATTAGCTGTTATTTTATCGCAGCGTATTTTCACGCGAAAAAAAAGCAATCGGTGGCTTTGTTTTGGATTTTGCTGCTAAAAACTGCAATATTCAGTGTTACTTCCCTGGTGATTCTGGCGTTGAGCTATTTTTTTTTCATTTTTTTTTTCAAAAATCTCGTAAAATGAGGTATTTCACTTCTTCGTCTGCTAAATGTCCCATTTTAAAAGGAGTAATGGGGGCGGGAGGCATGGGAGAGTTATTACGAGCACAGTCGAGAATTATTACTATTGCTACTTTATTGTCTTTGTATTATTAATAGTATTTAGCAGCTAATATTGCCATTATCACCACTATTTATTATTAATAATATTTCCGCTGATATTGTTGTTATTACTATTATTTATATCATTATTATTACTGTTATGTTTTTTATTATAACTGCTAGTGTGCCCGTATTTTCTTGCTTTGAACACGAAAAAGAGGGAGGAAGGGGAGGGCAGAGGTAATTATGTGCTATAATTATCAATAGTGGAAAACCTCAAATGTTGCATTTTTGAGTCAGAAAGAACTGGATTTTCATTCAATTTCCATAAATACTCGTTTCAATCTTGATCAAAAATTACACTTTCACTTTCATGATTCCACATTTAATCTTCTATACAACTCACTAGGATTATGCTAAACCATTGCCAACAGTTCTGGAATTGAGGAAGAGAAATGGAACCGGAAGAGGAGGAAGAGGGAGGAGGGGGAGCAGGGGAAAGGAGGGGAAACAGCGTGAGGATGATGTGAGTCCTGGGCTACATACCTCCAGTTAGTAACCACCGCTTGTTCATTATTTGCCCCCTGCACCTCCTACTGTATAACTTCCCTTATTTCTACTGCAAAAATATAATTGCAATTATAAATTTTTCTAAATTTGAAAAAAAAAAGCAAGCTGATATCAGAAACCCGCCTGGTTTAGTTACGCACAATTCGTTTTGATGGTAAATTGGTAGTGATACTTGCTAAGCGATCAAATCCATTATCAGCTTATTTCTAAGCGGCTCTCGAAGAATGGCATCATTGCTAGCTTTGGTTGTTGTTATGTTATAGTCACATGTAGGTTAGGTCAGAAAACTCACATCCCTTACAGTGAAAAGTTTCAAAAAAGTCTCAAAATTTTTTGCTCAGGATGCAGATGAGCAAAAAACAAAAAGTGAATTGAGGGGATTTATTCATCTTCTAACAGTTTTTTTCCAATAAGGTATGCAATCTCCAGGATCGAAGGGCCTGGCACAATTGCGGCTAGTCTCTGGAAGCGTAACAGCAACGTCAGAAATACAGGATACATACATCCATCACCCGAGCGATTTTGGTATTCCTGGTATAAACATAGGCGGTCCGCAACAGGAGCCTCACTTCCCCTCCTCCAGTCTCACTTGTCCCTCCCTCACTTCCCCCTC